ATTTTAGTTTGACGTTTTAAACTATAAAAATATAAAATAAAGTTCATGTTTAATAGTATCAATTTAAAAACTATGATTTCCTCATTGAAAAAATAAGATGAGAGTAACTCGATACTCTATAGTTTCATATGGAAAACCCCAAATTGAAGAACCAAATGCCATACAAATACGAGGACAGGACTCTTCCCTATCGGACCGAGTGTTACGAAGTGTCACCTGCAGAGTTAAAGTGTATAAAAAAATTTCCTCAAGGCCCAAGTCCTCTTCATATGACACCTCCAACGACTAAAAAAGTGAATATACTGATTGACACCGACATAGGAACCGATTTTGATGACGCACTAGCTTTGTTATATGCTCTTCATTTAAAAGACGCGAATATGGTAGGTGTCACAACAACGTACGGCCCCACTGAAATACGAGCTATTGATGCGCACAAGATATGCGATCCGTTCTTTAAACTTCATCCAGACTACCCCAAATTTCCGATAGTAGCTGGTGCAAGTTGTCCTCTTGGTTCTCATCGAAAGCTGTTTCTGTATGGGAATGAAGGTCTTCCGTTCATAACATTTGAAGAAAGTCGAAAGATGTCCGAGAAACAATTATTGGAGAGTCAAGACCAATGGTTAGGTGCTGATTATATCAAATACGCTGCTGAGCACTTTGAGGAATTGGTGATTGTGTCTATTGGCATCCCAACTAACATTGCCAGAGCATTAACCAAATACCCCGAAATAGAAGATAAAATTGCAGAAATAGTTGTGATGGGGTGTGGCTCCGAAATGCTGAAGAGTAATGAACGATTCTTCATGAAACAGAGTTACGACCCAAAGGTGTGGGGGAAGAAGCAATGTCCTCCTCCATTTCCTTTACCAACTGATGCAAAAGAGTTCATCGAATATGTCGAAGCTGGGAAGCCAGTCTTCTTATATCCAAATCACAACATTTCAGGCGACACGTTGGCGTCATCGATTATGTTCAATAGCAAAATCCCTATCAAGGTAATAACACACTCAGTCACCTCAAAGTTTTGGTTCAGTGGGGAAGGCATCGATTATTTACATAAAGCCGCAGAGAACACAGTCAATAAGAAAGAGCCACAAAGACCAATTGAAGCAACAGGACTGTTGATGGAGATGTGGTTTGGGAAAAGAGGGCAGAATGGACAATGCCCACATGACCCACTTACGGTTAATGAAGCTGTCTATGGTGGCGAGCAGAGTCATGTGGAGTATGTCAATGGGACTCTTTTGATACATGAGTGGGCTGGATTTGCGACATTTGTCCCACATAAAGAGGGAAGACATTTATTAGGTGTAAAACCAGTCCACCCCGAGCGCTTTCTTGAGAAGCTCAAAACGACGATAATGACTGGAGACTGGTGAGACGGAGGCGCTTCTTCTTTTTAATTCAACAATTGCGTGTTGGTGGGATCAATTAATTTTGGTAGTGTCACTTCTATAAAACAATTCCTGTAAAAGTACACAAAACCCTTTTTGTTTTTACTGGAAAGGACTTTACACAAGTTCTAGTAACAAACCATATCAATTAATATTAAAAAAACCAAACGAGTCTTTTTGAAGATATCGAAGAAGTTGCCGTTCAAAAAAGCGGGAAGTTAGGGAACAATAGAGGAGTAAAGAGATGAAGAAAAACTGAAAATGTCTGAAAACAGAGCAACTGGAAAAAGTGGAACAACGGGGGAGGGATGACCAAGTTTCAATTTAATATCAACTACAAAACAACTCTCGGATGTAAAGTGGCTGTCGTCGGGTCATGTAAGGAACTTGGGGAGTGGCAACATGGCATTTTGATGACATGGACTTCGGGCAATAATTGGAGGTGTGAAGTCGAAATCACAAACGTGCCTTTCGAGTACAAGTACCAAATCACAGATGAGCGCGGAAACGTCTTTGTCTGGGAAGCTACACAAAACAGACTCGTCCAAACCACTGGACTGATCGACCAAAGCCAACCTAAAATCGCTTCAATCGCCGTTTCGGACGTGTGGGAACAGCCTTCAAACACGCACTTCGAGCTTAAGAAAAAAGAAAACCCAATCGGGCTTAGAAGGGCAAATAGTAAGGAGTGGGACAGAAATTAATCAACTTGTGCCTTGTGTTAAATCGATCAAATGTCGTTTCCTCTTCTGTGTCCCTTACATGGGAGACATTTCCTATAAATATAGTTTATATTTACTATCATTATACAGATTGTCTTTCTATTGTTTTTAAGAAAAATGATTAACACGTGGATACACGTTAGTAAGATCGATTATCATTATTTAAACGGGATTTTTAAATAAATTAAAGTTGAAATAATTATAATGCCAATTACTTCTCAAAACTATTCATTCAAAAGAGAATATTATTAATTTATAATATACAAATTACAATAATATAGTATAGAGTATTCTTTGTAATTATTAGGAAAAATAATAAATATTATTAAATTTGAACAAATTTTTATGTTTGGTAATTAAAAACATGGAGTTGGAAATTATATAAATATTGATAATTCCATCAAACAAAATTCAGATTGTCTAAAAATCAGGAAATCTAATATTTACAAAATAATTTCCCTGATTATTAGAAGTTTATAATATTAATTGATTTGCACAGCACATAAAATGAAAAACATCAAAAGATGTATATATATTACCCGATATAACAGACCAAAAAACTCAGGCATTATTATTAGTGTTAAATTTAAACTATAAATTATCAAACTTGTATTATAAAAATGTTTTTGATAACCGTATTCCATTTAAATAAAAATTATTTATTTTATAGTTATTGTTTTACAGTTATTTTTTCTATTTTTAGAGATCTCTTATAACCAATCAACCAAAGTATAGTAAAATGAACAATAGCACTATTATTATTAACCTTTTTCAATAAAAATATTAATTAAAAATTTAACTAAGTTATCTTATAAAATATAATAAAAAAACAATGACGTGTGAATACATTAATAATAATGCTTTGATTTGTGAACCAAAAATAATATTAAACGATAATTACAAAAAAATATCATAATTTTATTAAAATATATATTAACAATTGTAATTAAAATTTATTTATCTTTTTAAATAGTCAAAAAATTAATTCGAGTAACTTAATTTTAGTCATAGTTTCCGATTTTTGTGCATTTACCTTCATAAAGATTCTGACAAATCAATCCATTTATTTCATAAACAAAAACATTTTTTATCAAATGATATTTACAATATATACAATTAATAAAAATATTTATTAAAAAAAAATATAAAAAAACGAAAAACATTTTTAACCACAAATAACAAAATGCACAATTCAAAAATCAAAAAAATACAATCCCCAAGAAAACCCTCTCCCTCAACTCAATTTATCAATGGCAAGAGGAAATCAGAGAGACAGATCTCGTGAAAAGAGAGTGAAAGAAGAGGCAAAGAAGAAACATGGAAACACAGAAGAAATATCTCTAACGCAGCGCAAAGAGAGGGATGCCCAAATCATGAGGCAAAAACAAGAAGCCGCAAAGGCAGAAGCTGCGGCTAAATAATCCATATCTCATTAACTATTCCTTTACCATTTCTTTATAGTTTAGTAGCAGTATTTGGCTTCTCAAAGATTTATTAATTTATGAAACTATAAAAACAATTCTATTCAAATTTATAAATTTGTGTTAAAAACTTAATGTAATTATTTTATGTAGTAAAAAAAACTATATAATAGAATTTGTTCAATCATAGTATTCCTCATAGTCATCATATTGTTCTTCTTCCTCTTTTTCGTATTGTGAGGATTCAATAGCCAAGAAATACTCAAGAGCAAATGGCAACGACTCTTTGGCGATCTTTTTGCAGATGTCGATATCTATTTTTTCAATTTCTTCCATTGCCTCATCATCAAATATATCAAAGAAGTCGAAAAAGCTGTCGTTCTTCCCGAGTCTTTCATAGTATAAGTCTGTCATTTCAATCCCAGAACTGTTGTTAAGAATTCATGTCTTATTACATTTGTAAAACAACAAAGCAAACTTGGCAACACATGTGATGGGGTTATTCGTTGGGTTCAAATTGTACTTAACTTCCTTAGTCAAAGTAGTTTTGTTCATATATGGATTTGGATTAAACTGAAACGTCACTACAAAGCCGACAAGTAATGTGTCTTCATGTTCGAGTATTGTGTGTTTCACCTTTTCTGACTTCACATGAGTGATTGTGATATCACGTAAGTACTGTAGGACCTCCCTGTCCGTGTTATTGGAAAGGAGTCTTTCAGCCCAACTGCTGTTGACAACGACATAATACCAGAAATATGGAAGCTTTTTAATTTGCTCGTTCTGCTACAAATCAGAAATGATTAGATTTGAAAATCTCGCGACGTGTCACTTGAATCTTCGAGTTGTCATTATTGGAAGTGTTGAAAATGTTATCCAAAATGTTATTTAAACAAACAACTTCTTTGAGCTCATTTAACCTTGCCATAGTGTCGCGAAACGTGTTGAAGTTCGACATTTCGTTATCAAACCGTGCGGCGCGGATATCAGACTGCTTATCGGCGATTTGCTTGAGGGTGAGCATTGTGTGAATTTTGAGTTCTTTCATTTTCGAGATTACCAAGTTTTGCCAATTTATCTCTCAGCTGTGCTATTTGCGCTTCATTTCTAAAGCGCTTTGTTTTAACCTTTGAGATTTCGTCCAAGTAATCAAATTTCATTTTTCTGAGAAGGAGATTGTATTTTTCTTGTTCTTCCTTATAGTTCGCGTTTTCTGGGTGTTCCGAAACTAAAACAATGAGTCGGTTCAAATTTTCAAGGGGAGATGTCCTCTTTTTGGCATAACGATCTTGAATCTCATCTTCTTGCTTCTCAAATTCTTTATTCTCAAATGTGAGTGATGAGATTGTGTATCTGATTTCGTTTAATTGTTCTTCTCTGTGTTCAATTTGACAAGAATCTCCAATGCACTCTTGATTCATATCAGCAGCACAATTCAAAAAAACGAAAAAAACGCAACAAAAAGAAACTATATTCATATCATTTTGAGTTTTCAGAATCAATTAATTTTTTATAATAAAACAAATGTTAGTAATAATAGTAAATACAACCATATTAGAATTCTATGTGCCATAACAAAGCATTACTTAAATAACATTCGAATTTCAATGGAAGAGATTTCATGTCATCCTTTTGAAATCTCGCAAATCCAGCGACTTGCCCAAATTTGCTTTCGAGACACTTACAAAGCGATATTGTCCCCAACGCAAATGGAGTACATGATTGACTGGATGTATAGTGACTCTTCTTTAAAACGACAGATAACTGAGGGGTGTGTTTATACTCTCTTTCAAAAGAACAACACCGACGTTGGCTATATTTCAGTTCAAAAAATAGGAGACGTCTGTCACCTCCACAAAATCTATTTAGACCCAAAAGAACACAAAAACGGGATTGGAAAAGTCATGATGAATTGTGTCAAGTCATGGGCCACTCAAAACTATTGCAAAACTATTATTTTAAACGTTAATAGATTTAATAAAACAATCGGGTTCTATCAGAAAATGGGATTCGTCGTGATCAGACAAGAAGACAACGAGATTGGAAACGGATTTTATATGAACGATTTTGTCATGGAATTTGTGTGCTAAAGTTCAAAACGCAAAACTATAATTTATAGGTTTGTTGCTATTTTGTATAGTTTGATACTGTAAATATAGGGTGCGCAACCGCGAGAGTAATTTTTCATTTTTATGAAATCTTTTTTTGTCATTGTAAAAAATAGTGAAATATGTCAATTTATTATTTTATTCATAATAATGAGCAAAATTTGTAAAATCTGTCTTAATATTGAAACGTGTGAACAGTATTCGATTAAAAGTAAATAAACTTTTTATTTGTCCCAAAAGTTGATAAAAAACAAATAATAATTAGAAACAACTTTTTTGATATTTTGTATTTATTATCAGACAAATTAGTATGATTGAAAAAAATAAGATAACAAAAGAAATTTTTGTTATATAACTTAATAGATAAATAATTGACAGCAAATTTTATAATTTGGTATAAACAACACATTGTTGTTTTTTCATTTCCAAATAAATTGTAAAATTCAAAAAATACAACACAAGCAACAAAATAATAATGAAATTAAAATAGGTACTTACAAACATTAAAACGTTGTTTAATAACGCTATATGAACTGTGTTGTCATAAACATGATAGACATAAAAAAGAATGAATTAACAATTGATTTTTAAATAAAATGATACGAGTGATTTGTATTTTATTGTATATAAAGACGACTTTGACATTCTATTCATTTAAGAAATTGAAAAACAAAGACGATAAGTTTTCATTTCAAAAAACCAGGTTGAATATGTAAATAAAAATAAATAATAAAAACAAAGATGGTTGATTGTTGAAATGTAAATAAAAATGTTACATCAATCTCTGTATGTTTCAACAACTTACGGCCACAAGAAACTGATGATGTTTTGTTTTTGTGGGTATTAATGTGTATATAATTAACAATGAACCAAAAAAATAAACAAGAAAGTTACAGAGATATTTATAATTATTATCAAGTAAAGAAATTTGGTGTTGTTTATTTGCTATCAATAACATATTATAATGTAGATAATATGACACATGTTTATGTGGTTATCACTTCAACAATAAAACGTTTATTTATATCATTGAAAACATTTATTAAAAAATAATAATAATCATGAAAAATGCAAAATAATTGTCAAACAACTTTTTATATCATGTGAATGATCAAACAGAACGTCTATATATAAAATTCTAAAACAAAAGTAAGAAACAATGTCATTTAATTGTCTTTTTAACTCAATTGTAATTATGTTGTAGTTTAACAAGTACTGTTTTACCAAATACTGTTTTTACTTGAATTTTGGCTTGTTTTCTTTTGTTTTTAAATGTCAACAATAATGGAAAGTATTGTTGTTGTCATAATATAAAGTGAATATAACAATTATATGAAGTTGTTGAAAACATTGAAATAATATCATTTATTCGTGGTGGTAAAAAAGCGCAAATATTGGATTTTTAATTAAAAGGCTAATTAATTTTGTCATTAACTTTTTAAAGTAAAAAAGTAATTTATAAAACTAAAATGCATTATTACAAAAATAATATTATTTTTTGGTTCATTTTTTTAGCTTTGATTTTTTGGTTGTTATGGCAGATCTTTTTAATAAAATCTCAGATCTCAAGATTTTGAAGATCACGATTAGTTGTAAAAATAAAACAATTAAAGCAAAGTATTTTTTTGTGTTAAAAAACGGGCAAACAGCAAATATTTTGTCAACAGTTGCGCACCCTATGTAAATATTGTGTGGTAGTAATTCATAACTATAATCATACTAAAAGTATTTGAAATAATAAGATATAGTAAAAAAAACTAGAAATATCAATTCAACAAATCGCAGATGTAGAGACATGTCTGTTCGAAGTATTTGACGATCGTTTGTTCTTTAATTGTTCCGATGTTCTCTTTAATAACACCGACGAGCTGGACTATGTACTTTTTCAAATCGGTTTGTCCGTATTTGAACAAACAAATGTAGCGGTTCAATATGTCGACAAAGAGTGCGACGTTATCTGAAGAGAGATTTGCTTCTTTCAACGCCTTTTGGAGACATTGAACACAATTCGACTTAGAAACGTCTTGCTCCCTTTTCACCCACATTGCACTACTCATTGCTATACACGCGACTTTACTCGGGATGTCCTCAAGCGTTTGTGAGTATTTTGTGACTTGTGTTGCCATTTGGATGTACTTCTCTTTATCGTCGATACGAAGGAAACACACGGTGCCCACAATCATCTCAAACGCACTTTTCTTGTCTTGTGGAGCGGTGATGTTGTTTTCAAAGAGCGAAAGCGCATACTCAAAAAATGCGGAGACATCAACGTCGTTCTCGTTTTGGTGCATCGAGCAACACAACGCAAGACGAAGGGCCAAAAGACTCTCGTTCTGCTTGACTAATATTTTAATAACGTCGAGCGCTCCAACAAACACATTCTTTGACTTCGGCGTGATTTGCAAAATTTTGAAACAAAGCGCAGGAAGGACAATCTTCTTTCGTAACGCACAACTGACAGATATTATTCCTTTCATCTCTCGCAAAGTTGCCATCATTTCTTCAGGATTGTGTATTGAAAGACGTTGAATAAATGCCGCAGATAAACTCGAGTCTTCTCGAATCGTTTCTAAGTTCACTGTTTCGCCATCTCGATGGATCAAATTTGTTGCATTAATAAAGAGAGTGAAGTCCTCCGAATTGGAGACGGGGAGACCACTCGTTATGAACAATTCAACTATCCGTTTTTGGAGGAGATGTCGTGAACTCAACCCGATGCTTTCGATCAAATCTAAAGTACCATCCATTTGAATGACATCTAAAATATTTTGATGGACACAAATGGCTTCAATGAAAGCAACAACATGTGTGTTCCAAGGTTCATCCTTTCCGGTGACGTTCTCTGTCGAACTCTTCGTGTCATTGGGCTGTTTCTTCGTCAGACAAAACTCAACGACTTTCTTTATTGTCTTCTTGTCAATATTGAAAGCCTTTTGAACACCATACCACTTTTTCATTAGAACAACAAATTCTTTGATCCACTGAAGGCCATTCTCTTTGGTATTTTTCTCATGCAAAAACACTTCCTTCATCCCATCGTCAAGAATGTCGTATATCTCCGTTTGGTCTTCCTTAACAGTGTCGATGTAAATGACTAACTTCTCGATGATCTCTTTGAACAATTTGGACACATCGACATTTTGTGGCAATGTAACTGCCGTCCGCACGATTGGTTTCAATGTGTATAAATGCATTTTGACAGGGAAGACATTGATGACGGCATCCATCAAATACATTTGCGCAACATCATCTCCGCCGACTGATATCTGTAACAGTATTTGCGGGAGTATTGTCGTCTTGTAACTTTCCATTGAGATTCCCTCTAACCCAGCCAAGACACTCAAATTTTTAGCTACTAACTGACACAACTGGGTTTGACTTTCTTTGTCTTTGTTGGCAAGTCGGTGATTCAGTTTGTTCGTCTCTGTGAAATTTTCAATCAAAAATTCCGTTGAATCCTCCAAACACCCGTCGTCTTTTTTGGAGTTGATATCGGGCAAGACGGGTTTCAATGTGTCGAGTAAATACGTTCTCAAGAAGAGTCCTCTAATAGGGTTTTGCACTGACTTACACATAGCAGTCAAGTCATGTAAGAAGTCGGGGACAGAGACCTTCTTTTGGAAAATACAGGCCGATCCAACAGTACACATCAAGTAAAGTCGTGGAATAACGTGGCTAAAGTATTGCACTTTCTCGTAATAAGTTATCAACACCTTCCCGGTTTTATTACGAAGGTATGACGCTAAGACGCCGAACTTCGTCTGAACCTCTAAATAGAGCGCGTAATAACTTTTTGGAGAGAAAGTGGCGTCTCGAAGATGTTCACAGATCTGGCAAGCGATATCAAGGGCATGCTGCATGTTATCGTTTTCAAGAAACCCTTCCATCTTCGTAGACAACGTGTCAACTTCATTGAGGCGGAAATCAAGCTCCTCCTTTTCACTCAAAAATATCTTCTTCTTGGAATGCGACTTCGACATTACTTTTCCAGTTCGTTTGTGTATTTTTAGCTTGAAACACCTACAATCCAAAGTGTTCTTCGAACATCTTCCACAAATTTATTATCAGCTGAAATGTAATTTGAATAAGATTTTTTCTATCAAGTACAAGTCTTATAGAAGTTATTGTCTTCTCAATATCAAAACTACAAAATGGTTGCCGAATTCTAATTAAGTCAGAGCGTGCACAATCTTATTCGATAAACACTTGGTGCGACGTAGATATTGAAGTTCTTTCCTGGTGGGAGTCGTTCTCCATCGAACCCAAGAACATCTTCTTTCTCGAGTCTCAAAGCCATTGCACTTGATCTGAAATAGTCAAAGCCGCTGACGTATTTTGGTACAAAAACGTTCAGAACCGCACAAATCCAAAACCCTAAGAATCGCAGTCGAGTTGCATTCTTCTCTGATAAGATCCAATTGTCCATCAATCCATCATTCCGATGAGCGTTGTGTGCAAACTCAATTCCAGGCATTCCGAAATTGCAGTTGTTCAAGAAAAGAATGCAAAACGACTTATCTGCTAGTGTCTCCCACCCATCACACTCCGCATTTGCAGCGTCTGGATTTGTGTGTCTATTGATGATTTGTGTTGCTATGTTCTTGGTGTAATCGTACGTGATGTTTTCGTTGTACCCTGATACACACTTTTTACAAAGAGCACCACAACTCCCAAAATTCTCCATCTTCACTTTCTTCACTTTGACAACCATCTTGGTGCACATCAGTTTGACACAGTACCACAACGTCCACAAAATAAATCGAAAAGCCCCAAGCCACCGGATGCACTCGCTTGCAAAGTCGATGCTTGAGAGGTACGAGACTTCAAATTCCAAAATGCCGTAATACTGTTTGTTGATGTCCAAATGGTCAACAATAAGTCCATCCATTCTGGTCACTTTCCCACAAACAATGTGACACATTGCAGTCAATGGGTTGTCGTCGTGATACAAACTGTATGCAATTCCATTGCCTGAACCACAAGGAAGTGGGCTAATAATTCGTGAATCGTTGCTTGGGCGATTCATCGAGGAATTAATTACGTTTGAGAGTGAACCATCTCCACCGCCAACTACAATTGTATCAAAGTCGTCAATATCCGTTCGTGTTGTAATTATTTCACTCTCATGATTCTCACGTTCAGTGATTTCATACGCATATTTGACACCCATACACTGAAGGTATTCCTCAATACCTTTAAATATGGAAACGCCTTTTCCAGTGCCACTGAACGGGTTAATTAAAAAGAATAAAGAAGGGTACGTATGTGATGCGTCTACCGTGGTTTTGAATTCTTGTGGTGAGTGTTGTGAATAGCGCTGTTATGCAAACAAACCTTTAAACTCGTCTTGAGATATTTTGAGAGACATCTCCTTCCTAACTTTTGTGTGTTTGTTTGGAACAAGATACTGAACAGTCAAAACGCCATTTGTATATTTGTAAAGACAAATATCATTCAAATTGAAGGTGGATAAGCCGACAGTGATCATGGTTGCCTTTTCCATTAAGTTTGACAGTTCTTTTCTTTTTTTGAAGAAGTGACAAGTAGTTGGGGTAAATTTCCAGGTTAATTGCATTGTTTTTCATAACAATTCTTTCTTATGTCCTACGGACTTTAAGTCAATCAAAACAACAAACAACCAACTTGTAAAATTTTTGAAAAAACAACATTCTTTTTTATTAAAAATAATTAATAAATACTAAATAATAATATTATAATTACTAACAATAAAAAACTATATTTGATTGTACTTTTTTAATAGTTGCAATTAGGTTTATTTTATTATTATTATTATATGAATAATAAAGTATAAATAATAATTATTATAGTAAATCAGAAATTATATTGTTTAAAAAAAAAAACATTAGGGATTTTTAATAAATATTACTATTATTTAAACTACATTCCAATAACACAACCAAAAACATAAAAGAAATTAAAGTCATTTAGCCAATCATTTCAATTTTTGTTTGTCAATAAATGGTATGATTAACACTTAAAATAACGCCCTTGTTATTTTATTTACTTGTTATTATTTGGATATTAATTCAATTTTTGACGATTTTCCTTTTTTTGATTGTGTATTGTTTATGCACATAATAAAAACTCTAAAAAAAACGGAAATTTATTTAATAAACTCGAGATTTCCCGATTTTTAGACCACTTGAATTTTGTTCAATGTTATTTGAAGTGTTAATGTTGTTTTTTCCTAAAAAAATAACGGGAAAATACTGTAAACAAATTGAGTTTTTTGGATTATTTTCTTGATAAATTTTGCCTTGAGTTGTAAAGATTTCTTTTTCAACTTTTTAAAACACCCTTTCGGAGAGCAAACTGACGTCTACACAGTTATGACAATTACTTACTTACAACTTTTACTGTAAAACTACAATTTGATGTTCGAGTTTGCCAAGCGTGGTGTTCTTTTGTTTATGATTTTTCTCATTGTTTTTGTTTTTTTGATGAAATCCAAGTTGTGTGTTGTTGAATTCTCTTATTGTGTCAATCGCCTTACACAACAAATTATTCGCACAACAATTGTTTACAACAATAGAACCATTCTCTGTTGTTACACTCAATGTATGAACGTAAAAAAATAAAATTGGTCAATTTGTCTTTGTTCGTTTTGATTGGATTTATTTTAAACAAGGACTTAAAATAAATTAAAATAACAAAATTAAATAACAAAAAACATTTTTTTTTTGTTAATAAATAAGGTTTTTAAAATGACTTTATTATTGGAAAAAAAACTAACTTAAGCTTAAATTATTATTATTTTATTAATTAATAAAATAATATAAAAATAAAATACAAGTAAAATTTTGTTTAAAATAAGAATAATTGATCTAAATAATATAATAAAAATAATTATTTAAAGATCAAAGTACTAAATCTAGATTATTAAAAAGATTTTTTCATTTATTTCATGTAAAATATTATATCCTAAACAAACTATAATTAATCGAAAAAATTCATTTTGACATATTATTTCAAGAGGAAAATTGAAGGATAAAAAAAAATCATAAATATTACTAAAAAATAATAAAATTAACTATATCTCATAACCACAAAGAACTCCTCTATTTTTTTCAAGAAAACGAAATCAAACCTTTTGTCACCAAAAAGAATTTACGATAAATAATAAATTAATAATTTTATGAACAATACTTCTTAATAAAAAAATCGACCAATGAATAGAACCTTTTAAAAAGTGGAAAAACGTCTTATAAAACCAAACATGTCTGAAAAGGACAAGAAGGCACAACTGAAGGCGCTAGTCAGAAATTCAAAAAAACTGCAAAAAGCACTTTCTGACGCCCGTGCGGAACGCACACATAGTGGAGTGATTGTTAAAGGTGCTGACAAAGTTGATCACTATTTAACAAAATTCACCACATTGATGCCTGATGAATACTTTGACTCAATTCCATTCACCAATGACGTCTCCACTGAATTGTTGAACACTTGGAATTGCGCAATAGAACATTTAATTAAGATGCCACAACACAACGTGACCCCTTCAATATACTTTCTGATGTGCAAGCTGATCCAAATCAAACAAATCCAACCGATGGCTCTAGCAGACTTCCCCGCACCCGACGAGGTTGCTCCACAAGTCGAAAAGTTACTTGAGTTGTATTACTCCTGTCTTGCCAAAACTGCGTTGTACTTTATACTCGCTTTGAACGACGCAGATGAGATAGAGGAGTATGAAAAGAAAGAAAAGAAGCCCAACACACTTGTGCCACCACGAAAGAAGAAGAAACTCTCCACTTTCCAATTTTCAAGCACCGTCAAACCAATCAACCCGGATTATTACGATGACGCCGCTCACGCGTTTGTGTTGATATCACAACGAGTTCCCGATATCTATGAAGGTATCTTGGAAACAGTGAACTACTTGAGTGGGGCGAAAATAGGGGAGAAGGGGTGTGTTGTCCTCACTGAAGAAGTGAAAGAGAACTTCCAGATGTTCAAGAAGTGGGAAAGCGTCGAGAAGTACATTTCAGGGAAGTCTCCGAACTGCGAGAAATTGTGTCAAGCGATCGACACGATGGATATGAAGTGGTTAGTCCATTTCCAGTGTCGTGGGAGATTTGCGATCCAATACATCAAGGCGTGGATCGAGTACATCGTCAAGAATGAAAAGTTTGTTATTACTTTGATATATTTGAGATGTGAGGAACAACGCCTAATATCATAGAGATGTGAAGAACTATCCTGGATACTCTATTTTCTATAATGAAATTAACTCAATTATGGACTTGACAGGGGAAGAACTTGTATCACCGATATTTGTGTGTGCAGAGGCTTACGCGGCATTCAGTTGCTTTGACCCAGAAATCTATAAAACAGTGTTGACAAAGAAAGTGAAGAAAACGAACTTCTATGACATCGACCAGATGGGAGAACTCTTGTTGATCGAACACTTCATGTACACGTATTACGGCAATAAGGAGATGATTGTTAAGAATTTTGACTACGACATGTTTGAGTCGGTGCACTCCAAAATTATGGAGAGCGACAACTATGCACTCATTTGTCTTCTCATATCGACGATATACCAAATCATCCCCGTTCTACCTGGAGAGAGCAGAAAGAGGGTTGTGTCGCATTTCATTCTTTCACATCGTAATTTCGACAGAATGTTCTGTCACTGGAATCACAACGTGAGAGTATTCTTCTGTGAGTTGTTGTTGTACAAAATCACTGTGTGTCCGTCGTGGAACCGAGTCAAATCGAATGCGCTTCTTCAAATTGAAAAACCGTTGTACGACAAATTAAAAACGAGTGAATTTGACATGTTCAAGACCGACGTTAAAATTGTCGAAACAGTGAACAACCGAATTTCATCTGTCAAAAAAGCGAAGGAGAAAGGGTTTGACCGCGAGGATGAGAAGAAGCTGTCGATCTACATCTCTCCGGCATTAAAAGACTTTGAATCCGAGTACACCGACTACAAAAATTGGGAGAACACCAACGCAGCGGAACCCCTATATAAATTGCTTGAGATGACGCGTCTCAACAGACTCGACAAGGACGTTATTTGATTTTTTCATTTTCTTTAGGTTACCAAATGCTTTAGAACTGAAGAGAAACAGAAAACTGAATTGAAAATAACTAATAAAAGGAGTTGTTGAAGAACTTGAAATTGGAGAGGAAATGTCGGTGAGGTGCTGTGTGGTCTTGGATCAACTTGAGATGTCGTATATCTCCATTTACTGCCCACTACCTGTGGTGTCCCGGTTTTTATTTGTTTCGAAGAAGTGCAAATTATCAGTCGAGTTGGCACCGATGAACCCAGAAAGGACTTCACCACTATGTAAAGGGGAATTAAAAATGTACACACAAACTGAATTGTTACAAGGACGTATGACTGATATAGTCCACACTCTCTCTGTCAAAAAGTGGGCAAAACGAACACTGAAATACGCGAAGTTTGCAATTACCTTTAACAATTCACACGATTACTCGAAAGTCAAATTCTATCACGACATCGCTAAAGACGTCAAATGCTTGACACTATCATTAACGAAAATAGATGACTTGTTGATGATACTTAAAGAATCGCCAAGTCTTGAAACACTCCGTCTGCCATATTCTGTGCTGATTAAAATACACGAAACATACCCATTGGACCATTTGTTGTCAGTGTTCCATCTGAAATATTTGATGCTTGAAAAGACCACATACACATCTTTTATCCCACACGTCTTGATGAAAGTACTTGAAAATTACCCAACCCTCAACGTCTTCTTTTTCATCCAAAATTTGGAAAGTAAAGTGGCCGACTTGGTGAGTACACACAATAATGTGTTTGTTGTTTCAGAAGACCAGAAAAATATCAACTTCTTTGTTAAATACCCAAAGAGGATGTATTTCACAGGAGAGTTTGTGCTCGACAACAAGAAAGTACCAAATTATGAGAAATGGGCGGAGCTTTACCTGCCACGGTATGTCGGGAGTGTTGCGATGGATATCACTAGTTTCACGTTACGTGGGGAGTACCGCCCAGAAATAGAGAAAATGTATTCTTTGAAGTATCTAGTCATCGACGAAAGAAAGAAAAAGACAAAAACAGTCAACTTCAAAAGTATGAATCTTGTCGGGTTAACGTTACTTGGATCCCCAGTAAAACGAAGTGTTGAACTTCCAAGTTGTATTAAAGAACTCAAAATCGACTCATTTTGTGATGTCGACTCATTCATTACTCCACTTGGGACAAATGGAATCCGCATGTACACTTCCCTCACCAAATTGCAAATCACTAAAATGAAGGGAACAATTAATCCTCCCCACTCGTTGAGCGTTTTGGTATGCGAGGATTGCACTGTTGGCAAAATTGACACCAAGGATTTTAAAGGCCTTTACTCGTTAAAATTTGTAAATGTCAAATGTGAAGGCCTTCAAATAGCAGAAAAGATTGAAGAAATACACTTGGAAAAGTGTGAAGGGATCAGGTCTGATATCTACAAAAACGACTGCTTCATGTTTTATGCGAAAGAAGAGTGAAATACTTAAGTTATATTATTTTTAGCTTTGTTATAAATTAGTTTAGTATTTTATTTGGTTTATATTTAATTATACTTTTATAATAGTTAATAATTAAAATGATTGTTTCTTTGATTAGTAATTTTATTGTTTTAAAAATTAGATATTATAGTTTTTTTGTTTCTGAAAAACTCAGAAAAAAAAAAGTGATTTTGTTAATACAAAAAATGACAACAAAAGAACTCCATGTACACTTCAATCCTGAAGTTGAAACAATTCAGTACGACCCCGACGAACCGCCAGCTCAGAACTATCTTAAAAAACGGCCACGCGTCAGCAAAGAAGTTTGTTTTATATGATAGTTAGAGATACAATCAATATATATAAAATGAACTATAACTATTGTAAAAAGAATTATAGTATGTTTAAAGTATAAAAACTAATAACATGTAGTTTATCGGTGCAAAGGAAGAACCCATTTCTCCCTCGAAAATTGAATACAAAATGGACATCAACACGTTCTTTGAAGGAAGTCAAAAGAAGAAGGTTGACACCGAGAAAATGGAAGATTGGGAAATTCGTCAGGCGTTGCGAAGATTAGGACTGAAAACTGTTGGAACGCTTGCGGATCAAAAAAGACGGCTTGAAAAGTATTATACCAAACCAACAAAAACGGGTGGAGAAAAGATTGCTAAAGTCAAGACACAAAAGAAGGGGAAAAAAGCACCACTTACTCTTGACCAACTCCAAAATCTTTAACACCATTTTATTATACATTATAGTTAAAATATAATTTTATTATTAGTTATCTTTAATTTTTTGGAGTGGTTATTTCTAGTTAATTACTAATAAATTAATAGTAAAAAATTCAATAAAATTAGCAAAGTTTATTTTCTATAGGAAGTTCGGCGCTCATTGTCGAGTCGAGAAGGTTAAACGAAATGCGTGTGTATAAAGAGAACAAAGCGACGCATAAAGTGCTCGCAACCAAGTTGTGTAAACTGAAAGTATACCGATGGATAGCAATATCTCTACTAAATCCGTAGAGAATTAATACAAACATTTTGACTAAAGCATAAGAGACAAGGAATATGATTGAGTTGATTGCGCACAAAATAAGACTTTGAGTGGCAACTTTCTTACTTGAGTCATAGAAAGTCTCGACAGATAGAGCACCAACAGAAAAGAAAGGAATATAAAGTCCGTCAAGGAATAATGAAATGTTAAAGTTGACAATTCCTGTCAAAACACCGACCATTGAAAAGACCAATTTGAATTCGTCGACGTCGTTTGCTTCTGTAGAAAAGCCACACCCACTCCGAAAAATGTTGAATGAGAAATATCCATAGAAACTCGCCCCTAAAAAGAGTAATCCAAGTTTAGTCCACCCACTCCGTGTCAAGTAAAACAGTCCCGGTTCATCGTGATACGTCTTGTCCCCTCTCTTGTTATTTATTTGTCACTTCATTTGTTCTTCATAGAATAAAACAAACCCGTACATATACTAAAAAGTACTATTGTATAGCTTACAACAACACAAGACAGTACCATCGCAAACACTATAGAACGCCAAAACAAGAACGTGCACATAGAAAACAATACAAAAGATGGTATAAACACTATCAACGAAATGTTTAAACTGACTCGAATGATCCTCTTCCGAAATTCTTCACGCTTTAACCTTTCATGAGGATGTTCCATGGCGACGTTTAGTTTTTCAAGTTCAACTAACTAATTTCTATAAATAGAAGACTTCCTTTATGTCACAAATAGTAAAAGAATGATTAATTAACCAAACAGAACTGTGCCAACATTCCATAGACTTGTACATACGAATTAACTCGTCTGATCAAGAATGGAGCGGCAGCTTCATACAATTTCACTCTGATTTCTTCACTGGTATCGACTTTAGAGATCATCTTCACTAACATATCTATCACATCATTCCCATCAAACCCTAAGACAGAGATCTTGCTCACTTCATCAACGGCTTCGTCAAAGTTCTTCTTCAAACAATTCGACAACGCTTTCAAAATGACATCGGCTGAGGGAAGATCATTTCTTTGATACACATTCTCGGCTGTAATTGTACCTTTTAACACAGCACACGTCTGAAGCGCATTCACTGCCTTTCGCAAATCGCCTTCACTGATAATTTCAATTGCTTTGATCGCGTCGTCCGCGATATTCATGGACTCAAGCCGCGCTATTTTGGTGATCCGGTTGATGACTTCGTCAGTGGAAAGTGGGCGGAAGTTGAGACGAGAACATCTTGACTGAATCGGTTCAATCACTTTTTCTGGGGTGTTGCACGCCAACACAAAGCGTGTAGTCTTCGAATGGATTTCCATTGTCCGTCTCAAAGCCTGGAACGCTGCTGTCGTCATCGAATCTGCCTCATCGAGTATAACAACTTTGGGGATGTTGTCTGGCAACATCACTTTCTTCTCGCAGAATGCTTTAATAGTCGTTCGAATGGTGTCTATACCTCTTTCATCTGACGCATTCAATTCTAAGACGGCTTCTTTGTATTTGTCTTTTAAGAGCTCACGAGCCAAACAATGAATTGAAGTCGTCTTACCTATCCCAGGCTGCCCACATAATAATAAATGAGGAAATTGTTTGGAAGAACGAAAACTCTTCAGCGTCTCGATGACGTCTTTGTTACCTACAACATCCTCTAACACCTTTGGACGATATTTTTCAACCCATGGAATTGCTTGTGTGGTCATATCGTGTGAAGTTCTGAATGAATTTATTGAGTTATTCATTTCTCATGTTTTACTCACAACACTAAAAGTAAAAAGAATATAATAATATTATTATATTTTGTACTATATTTATATACTACTGATTATAATAATGTAAATTAGAAATAATAGTTACTCTCCACTCTTCTCAACAAATAGTAGTAATTAATAATATAATATAATAAACTATTTAAATAGTATTCAAACACTTTTGGTGGTGACATGTAACTATAAAATATAGTAAAATAAATTAAAATAAATTAATAACAAGAGCGAGAAGAAAGAAGTGAAATACCCTTCGTAACCCTTAGGCACTTTGGAACTGAGAAGCAATTGCCTTCGAGAAATGGGGATTACACGAGACTCAATTCACAAGAGACGTTCGACTGGAGGAAAGAAGAACATGATGCAAAAGAAGAAGAAGTACAATATGGGTCGTCAACCAGCCAACACCAGACTCGGCGCAAAGAGAATTCATGACGTCCGTTGCCGATTTGGCATTATTAAGAGAAGAGCACTTAGACTTGATGTTGGATATTTCACTTGGGTTTCACAAGCCATGACTAAGACCGCCAAAATCTTGAACGTCGTCTACAACGCGTCCAACAACGATTACGTCAGAACAAACACTTTGGTCAAGAACGCTATTATTGAAGTCGATGCTTCACCATTCAGATTATGGTTCCTTAAGAGATTCGGAAAGGATATCGCTTCTAAGGACTACATCAAGTCTCTCGAGACTGAGGGATACACCGCAGACAAGAAAATTGCTCTCGTCAAGGATGAAGAGGTCAAGACCGATGCTAAACAGACCGGCAAAGAGGAAGCTAAAGAGAAGACCGTTGCTCACCAAATCGTCGAGACCCAACTTGCTTTGATGAAGCCATCGAGCACTATGAAGAAGAAATACGCTACTATGCTTAAGGTTCTCAAGCACGTCAAATTCGAAGACGCTTTAATGGAAGGATTCCAGGCTGGAAGATTATTGGCTTGCATCTCCTCAAGACCGGGTCAAACTGGAAGAGTCGATGGATACCTCTTGGAAGGAAAGGAACTCGACTTCTACACAAAGAAGGTCCAGGAAAAGAAGAAGTAAATCAATTCTCGAATTGTGACGTTTTTAGGGTTTTGTTATTCTTTAAAGAATGTCTTAAGACTATCTAAGTAGTAAAGTTTTGAACTGAAAGTAACTGATACGACTCAAAATCAATTAAGCAACTGCGTGTAATGCCGACGGGTCAACGGCTCACTTGGAAGACGTGCAAAAAGTGGGTAGAGGATCCGTGAAGCCCCATCGACTTCATCAAGTGGGGGGATATCCCAGGGTTTGGATGTCTCATAATACTCATCGACGGAGATCCACCCCGGGTCACACCCATGAATACTAAAATCCAATCCTTTTGTTGTTTGTAAGCCACTTGCACAAAGACAAGCAGTTAACATAGCTAAGGCAGCTTTTGCCATATTAGTGTGAGTATGATACTTCGACTTGTGAACGTTAAATAAGCCTTCCCGTGCATGAACAAAAATGACGTACGGGGTCATTAATGAAAGTTTCAGTAAGGGTAAGAGGGCTTGTGTCATCATTGCTGGTGCGACGGAGTTCACCCGAATAACTTCTTCCATCTCCTTTTGATTCCAATTGTCGATGGTCATTGCCCACGAGTTGACATTTGTCTCTTTCACAAACTTTGCATCACCATATCGATTCGTTTCTTCTATTTCACTTAACACACGACTGCGCTCTTTCTCTCTCACTCGGATGGTTTGCGCAGCACAGAAGATCATGTTGTCGAGATGACCATATTTCTCTTGCAAATACTTCGCAAACGCTGCAAAGACGACACTCTGGTTGTCGGTATCAAGGTCTAACCCTTGTGAGTAAATGTCTAGATTGTCCTTCCAAGTCTCGTAGTCGTGGTATTGACTAAACAACTTCAAAGTCTCTTCTGGGTATCGTGTTGTCCCGACTACAGTCGACCCGGCTCGCAACAGTTTCAATGTGACTTGATGCCCCAATTTAGTTCGACACCCAATAACTACACTGACAGTGTTCTTCAAATCTCGTGTAAGCTCTCTGTTCTTCTGAAACAACTCGCCACAGTCATGACAGGAATACACATACACGGGATGGGTAGATGCACAGATTTTATTACAGCCATAACACTTTATAAATTCGTCTTTCTTAAATTGATATCTCTCTGTCGTTAACGGATTATTGAATTCAAAATTGTCAAGTTCAAGAGCTGTCTTTGTAAGTTGTCTTGTGATCACATTTCTCCCTTTCGCAGTCTTTCCAAAGTTGCACAACACACTTTTGTCAAGTGCTTTAGTCCGCTTCACTGATGTCACCGGCGGTCTCGGCTTCTTCTCTTTGTCAATTTTCTTCCTTTCATTCTTCGGTTTGATGTTCCCATCTTTGTCTAAATACTCCGGACAATACTGCAACATCAATCGGCGCGACTCCGCGAGTCGAGTCGATAACTCACCAACTCGCGCTTGTAATTTCTCGATGCCACGCTCTTCTTTTGTTGGGGTCGACTTGTCTGCCATTAAAACTGGTTGAAACTATTCTTTTACTTGTATGAAATTATAATAAACCTCATCTTTCCTTTTTTTCATTTTACTATACATTTTTGGTTATTTAACTATATTTATTTACTAGTGCTAAAACACTCCACTAATTATAGTAATTATTCCTAAGAAAACAACTATAAAATGAACTAAAAATTACGACAAAAATAGCACAGAATCAAGCAGAAGACGACTTGGGCATAAACTTCATGACAACCCCAACTAAAATACCAACAAGAGCTATGCCTAGGACAGCATATATAATAATGAACTTCGCTTTCTTTCCAGCTAATTCACAACACGCTGCCTTTTCTAGTTTATCCATTTTGGTGTTGAGTTGCACTGCAGCGTATGCGTTAACTGTGGAAGCCTGGTTCAGTTGTTCGACTTGTTTTCCTCGTTTGCTAATAGCTTTAAAAGACTCTTGTGTAGTCATCCAACACTGCTCGGAGGCAAGTGCAGCTTTTCTTTTTGGGTCTGTTGAGTTTTCGTTAGCGTCTTTGATAAAGCACGCCAAACTCTTTTTAAAGCTGGAGAAGTTCTGAGCATCGACGACTGTTCTGTCATTGAAGTTATTTGTTCCCGACTGAAACGTCGAATAAAAAGCGTTATATATCTTCTTCATAGTATCCAATGAAAGACTTGCCGCTACTGGTCAACTCTTTTGCTCTTCGAAAAGTTCAAAGTAGTAATATAATATCATATAATAATATATAATATATAATAGAATAGCAAACGAAATGAATACCCACACACGACCAATATAATGACTGTGTTCTTCTGGAGGGTATATACCGTCCTTCTAGAGTGTTAACTTCTTGAGTAAATACTTACTATATAATAAGCAAACTTCTTTCCTACAAAAGACTTCTGTTGTTCCGCATCATTCTTCTTGAAATTGGCTCCAATGATGTTATTCGCTACTTCTCGATGAGATTCAATGCGTTGTCCTTCCTTCACCGCCTCGCACACGGTTATCAATTTCACGTAGATCGCTGCATAAAAAATAGCGTCGTACTCTTTCTCGGCTTTTTGCTTTTCAAACAATTCAATTTGCTTTCGTGAAGCTTCGTTCAGTTCCTTTTTCATCTCTTCATCAGCAGCTTTTTGTTTCTCTTGTGGTGACACAACTTGTTGAACAGGTTGTCCGTCTTGCGTTTTTTGTTCGCTTTGTTGTTCCACAGGAGGTTCTGTCGTAGTTGGAACTGTCAGTGTTGTGGGTTGTTCAGCAGCTGGGGATGACATTGATATTCTTCTTTTTTAGTTATTCTTTTGAGTTCTCTAATAACATGTTCATTTTGAATTAAAAATTTGACCTTATGGGATGTTTTTATAGTTTGTTTTTTGGTAAATGATACTATATATAATAAGTGTTGAAATTAGTTATAATGTTGTATAAAAAAAAAGATGAAACAAAAATCCCTTAAAGTTGGGTTCATTGATTGAAAACAAATATAAACACTTTTTATTAACATGACACCTTTTACTCACACTTCTATTAAGTATTTTTTATTAAAAATATATTATAACTTATATTACCAAAAAATGAAATAAACTTTGTTTTTATAAAACAAAAATAAGACAAAGAATTGTAACAGGTATAAATACACCTTGTACTATATATGAACTATACTTTAACCATACCAAATTAATAATTGAACCAAATGCAATCACCACACATGTACTTAATTTTCCTTTAAAATAGCAGCGTGTTCATTTACTGGGAGTGATGGTGGCACAGAAAGTGAGTCAGCATTTTCATCGTCGATGACATCTTCGGAATGTCCGAATGGTTCATATTCCTCTTTCTTCTTCCAGAATTTGAGTTTCGCGAAAGGCGATGGTTCTTTGAACTTCTTGACCTTTTGTTCGGGGACTGGGATGAACAAAGCAATTTGTCCGACAAGAATGGAGACCATCCCACATAAAACAGAGAAGATCCACCCTTGCCATGTTAATCCATATTGGTTATTTGATGGAGAGAATGGTGTACCATCGAAAATGATACCCAAGAAGACTACAATGATCACTTGTGTAATTGAAATGCCAACGAAGATACATGCGAAATACATATTAGCAAAGATGTTTTGGAAGATGTTATGTTCCCCATTGACCTTACGAGAGTTGAACATATTGAAGACTTGACAGAACACAAAAGTGTTGAAGACTAACGTCTGTAAGGTTATGGTATCGGTCTTGACATTATCATAACTCTTAAACATCTCCCCACTCCCACTCGTCTCCTTTTCCCACGTCGCACAAACATCACTGAAATCATCACCAGCAGAGCGGTTCATCGTACGAGCAAATCCACATGGCGCTTCTAAGAATGGAATGTAGCGCCCAGCAAACACAATAGTCAAACAACAAGCATATTGCCATAAGGTTTGAGACAAGATACTACGTATCATCTTTGGTGATAACAATGAATTGTACTTCCCAAATGGCTTTCGCTTTAACAACTCTTTGGTAGGTTTCTCAGTACCCAAAGCAAGTGCTGCTAAGGTATCCATAATCATATTCACCCAAAGCATCTGAAGTGCATTTAATGGCGCTTCTCCTACAAAGACTGAACCAATGATACATAACCCAACAGCTGAGACATTCACCGTTAATTGGAATTGAAGGAATTTTCTAATGTTATCAAAGACACATCTCCCCCACCTATTATGTTAATAGAATTATAATTATTTTAATTAGAATATTAGAATACTATTAGTATAATAATATAATAATAATATAAACAAACATTACGGAATTCACAATGGACTTGAAGTTATCATCAAGAATAACAATATCAGACGCTTGTTTTGCTACATCAGTCCCTCTAATACCCATAGCAAGTCCAATGTGTGCATTCTTAAGAGCTGGCACATCATTGGTACCATCACCAGTGACTGCAACGACTTCGCCTTGTTTTTTCAATAACAAGACAAGTCTCTTCTTATCTTGTGGAGAACATCTAGCAATGACACTTAATGATGGGATCTTCTCAATAATCTCTTCATCACTCATCTTTGCAAATGCTGGACCTTCAATTGCAAAGTCGTCATCAGACGAGATGATATTGCACTGTCTAGCAATTGAACGTGCAGTCTCGATGTTATCACCAGTCACCATTCTTACTTTATTCCAGCGCCTTGACACGTCTTAACAGCTTCGGGGACTTCGACTCTCAGTGGATCTTCAATGCCGAAGTACGCCAACAAGATGCTTCCGCTCTCATCAGCCTCTTCATACAAATCGTCGAAGTTGTCCAAGTTCTTAGGAGCAATGTCTTTGTAACTCAACGCAAGTGTTCTGCACCCCTTATTAGCCCAAGCTGCTTGTCTTTGAGCCAATTCATTTTTAACGTCATCTGTTAATTCGGCAATTTCTCCTGTTGATTTCATATAATGTGTGCACTGCAAAATGATCATTTCTGGCGCGCCTTTAGTCAACATCCGGACTTTGGTTGGTTTTTCTTCCCAGACTAATGTGTTCATTCTCTTCTTTAATGAAGAGAAGCCAAACATTTGGTAGATCTCCTTCTCCTTTCTTAATTGCTTATAATCAACACCTCTGCTCTTAGAGAACATCATTAAAGCACCTTCAGTCTTATTACCAATAACATTAATTTGTCCATTCACTTCTTCTAAAGTTGTTGATGGCGATGAATTCAAAGAAGTGTTCTCATGAATAATTCTCTCATAATTCTCATTGATTTGGAAGTCTTCCCCTCTCTTAGTCATTTCTACACCACCAAAATAGCCACAGACTACAGTCATTCGATTTTCTGTTAATGTCCCAGTCTTATCAGAGCAGATGTTCGTGCAGTTCGACATCGTTTCACACGCCTTCAAGTGTCTGACCAAGTTGTTATCTTTAAACATTTGCTTCATAGAATACGCCAAAGAAATGGTCACGGCTAATGGAAGACCTTCAGGAACAGCGGCAACGACAATTGTAACTGCCAAAATGAAGTAATCGACCAATTGCTTCAATGAGTCCCATTCAAATTTATAATCCTCACACAAAGTTCCGAATTGCGGATCTTTTTCGCTCACAGGACATGTGACACACCCAGCTATAATCCCATTAGTATCCGTATGTTTCATAACTGGCTCATGTGTGCATTGTCCGACAATGTAATAGATAGTCAATGCTACAAAGACTAAAGCTCCTCCACCCATTCCAAAGTATCCAATTTTCATCGCAATATCATCAAGCTTCTCTTGTAAAGGTGTCGCCTCATCTTTATTCTTGTTGACATCTTCCATTGTAGCTCCCCACATACTATTGGGTCCTACAGCTACGACTATCATCTTACCATTCCCATCAGTGATTTTGGTACCAGACATCATATAATAGTTCTCCGCCGTCTTCTTAATAGCATCAGACTCACCAGTCATGTCACTCTGATCAACACGAAGACCATTACCTGAGACATAGATACCATCGGTGGCTAGAACATCACCAACATCTAAGTTAACTAAGTCTCCAACACATAAGTTGAATGTCGAAATTAACTCCTGTTCACCATTTCTAACTACTTTGATCTTGACATCCTTCTCATCGGCAGCTAAGGCTAAGAACTTCTTCTGCTTGGAGTAATCGGAGATGGAACTCCCAAGAGACGCAACTAAAACGGCGGCGAGAATAGCAACTCCTTCGATCCAGTCGGTGTTAAACTTCTTTTCGTCTTCTATGATACACTTGTTCGTCGAACTTGGGACGGCAACGGCTAAGATCAAAGAAACGAGAGCGGCAACCATCAAAATGATCAAAGTCTTATCTTTCAACGCCTCTAAGAAGATCTTCCAGAAAGGTGTAATGACGGGGTCTGGCGTTTTGTTTTTACCGAATTGTTCTTGTCTCTTTGCAAAAGAGTCGTCACAAATTCCTTTCTCAGTGTCAGTCTCGAGTAATTGTGTTATCCCTTGAAGGCCACCAAATGCTTTGTATTTGGCATCGTCCTTGTTCGTAATAATCGTAGAAAGATCACTCCCTTTAATTTGATAGTACGTCTGCTCTTCGGGGTGGCCCTTGTACTCAGCTTTTTGTTGTTCTTGGATTGAAGGTTTTCCTCCCATCTTGGTTTGTGTTTTCAGAGTTTCGGACTTTTAAGGGTCAACTACTATCCATATTGATTCATTAACTAAAGTTTTACTAGCCAAATAATCCCTCTTTATAAGATCTATTTATTCGGAAGAGTCTTTCTGCATTTCATTTTTTTTATACCGCCTTTTAGTGGAATCATGTTGGCACGTGAACAACTTTTGAATTTCTTTGTTAAATTTCTTAGTACATGTAGAGAACAACAATTATTGGTTTCAAAAAATGGCGTTTGCCATTATTCTTGTAATCCTCTGTTATTCGATTTTTGGTTACACAGCCAATCATTGCAAAGAAATGCCAACTTATTTTGAGAAGACCATTCAGTGTCGATTTTTTTTTAGAATTAATGTGTATTAAATTGTTATTATATTTGTAGTTTTTTAACTATATTTCTAAAACATTTGAAAAGTCGTTTTTCAATAGTAAAAACACTTCTTTTTTGTTGAACAATATTATAGTTCATTATATAATTAAATAATCTAATGTAAAATTGGATACTTCAAATAATTCACCTGTTAATAGTTTATCTATAATATATTGAACTATAACAATAACGATCAAATTTTGTTCTTACTTTTTCAGTCGCTTAAAAATTGAAAACACAAACTTAACAATGTTAGTAAAAAATAACAATAAATGTTCCTGATCAAAATTAATAACAATAAAGTTTATTTTCAAAAACAAAAAACGGGAACCGTGACAATACCCACAACAAATTAGTCTCACCCCTCAATTGACTTTCTGACACATCTTCTGACCTTTTTCTTATACTCTTCTTTGTTTGTTCTCCACTCTACAGCAGCGTCTACATTTGCCGGTGACTCATCATTAGGTTGACTTAACATAGAGATGACACTCAGAAGAATCGACTCAACGGAATGTATAGGATTCCACCTTTCTGCGGCGGACTCATATCCAAATTCGTCGTCTCCAGGCGGGTGGAGGATTGAAATACAAACGTCCCCCGTTTTATACACACTAATAGTTAGTTATAGTAAAAGTAATAATACATCAACACTCTGAAGAAAGGTGTATACAAACTATTATTTAACTATACAAAAACTATATATAAAACTATACAACGAACGAACTTTGGGTGCCAAATTTCAGAAATGAATTTCATCTTAGGAGGGTTGTTTGGGTAGTCTTTTGGGAAAGTGAGAGTTGCCTGAAACATTCCCCCGTCACTGTATGTCAGCGCCATTAATTTTAACCCATTCGCGACTCACCATGGGACACTTAAAGAAACAAACTAATAGGTATCTGGGGGTCCTACAATCATCACTTGCCATACATATATATCAGAATCGTTTACTAACCCTACTGAAAACCCATCGACTGGATGTTTTGTCAACTCTTGGAGTTGTTTTGAAAGAATCAATGCCGATTTGTTAGCCATTAGTAAAACCTCTCTGGAATATGAGTTCGCTGACTTGACATTTCTTACACTTTTTTTAACTTCTTTTACTCTTTTGGAGATTCGATGACTTGTTTATTCCCTATGATTTCGGGGATTTTTTTTCAAAAAAATCATTTGAAAAAAAAGGGAAAAACATGTGACGTGGAGAGTCTGAATCATTGTTTACTAACTTTTAGTTATTAAGTTTACTACAACATACTTGGAATTGTATTGGTGTCTTGATTAAATCTGCCTTTTTCATTTTTTTTTATTCTAAAAATTATTTTTTGTTATATTTATATTATTTAATGAACCAGATATTATAGTATTTGTTGTAAATAATTAAATCAATGCAAATTTATGATTATGTGACCACCTCATCACTGAAATAATACAATCAAACTATATTTAAACTATAACAAAACTAAAATAAATGAGCAAATCAATTTGATTTGTTGGAAAAGCGCTCTTTCAAGCCAATATTTACGTCAACCGTGTTTTTAGTGGTGTCTCTCCTTTTTACTTCTGAAATCAACAAAGTCTCAAGAAATAGTTTTGACTTTTGACCTTGGAATCCCAAAACGAACGAACGCGAAATGGAAACAATAGAACCAATACCAAGACGATCCATCAATCCCTTTAAATATGTTGACTACTTCGAAACATCAGCTTTGGGGAGCAAAACGACTACGTACCAATGGAAATGTCCACTCCACAACCAATCAGAATGGAACTCACTCCTCTCGTTCGGCCTCCTCTCAATTAATCGCTTTAATATAAATTATCTATTTATTTATTATTATTTGTTTCCTATTGAATACCACAAAATAAACTAAACTATTTTAATTATCACTTTTGTATCATCTTCGTGAAAATGATATCGGTTCTTATAACATTATTAGTTCGAATATAAACACAATACATATTGATTTTGATTCCGATATAATTTCAAATCTATTCCATAGTAGATTTAATAGATGAAATTATTAAAAAAATAGAAATTATTTTGACAATTTGAATTCCTCATCAGATTACAAAGAGAGGAATGAAACTGTATAAAACAAACGATGGAAGAAGTCAAACCGAAGATTCAAGCCCCCGAAGAGGAAGAAGTTTTGAATGCGCCGAAAGACAACGAGAAAGACTTTGGCGATATAGTGAACACTGCCGCCATCCGTAATAAAGCGGAGAATTTTCGTCTGAAGTTGGACAAAGGATTAGACCTTGACCCGCTCTACTTAGGGTTATTGGCCACACTGGGACATCTCCCTGGGGCCTTTTTCATCTTTTTAGTTAAAGTGAATGAACCGATTCTTCGGATGTACGCGATGCAATCGATCATCTTAAATGGCGTCATGATGTACACCGTTTTCATCTTCGGCATTGCGTCGATTTTCACATCGAAAATGCTCTGGTTACTGATCCCATCTTTCATCGGGTTGATCATCATATATATCTTCCAAGCCGTCTGCGTATTTTTCACAAAGGGAACGAAGTTTGTTGCCATCCCCATTATAGGCGGATATATCCAAAAGCAACTGTCGACCGATTCGACCCTCCCTATCTAATTCTAGTTTTTTATGGCTCTTTTTATTATTAATTCTTACTAGACATGGTATAATTTGGTAATAATATATTTTACTAGTCGTAAATTAGATGATTATTATTATCATCACGGTCTTCAATAACTCTGAAGTCATATGAATTTACAAAAGACCGACTTTGACAACTTACTTAAATCTCAGAAGTACGACGACGCATTTAAAATGCTGAAGGACAGACAAGCTATTTTAAACATGTATCAGAGAGACGAAGAACTCTTCCAAAGAAAAGACGTGGCAGTTTCGACCACTTCGGCTTTTCGTGTTATTCAAAACTCGGAAGAATTCACTGACTCGGATCATTTCTAGTATCTCATTCTCTTCTTTTCAACATAATTTCAATCTTCTTTTCTGATTGCGTGTTTTGTGTTCTTTCAAATTGTTATGTTTATTTTACTACTTTTTATCTATTCACTTATTATATACTTTGAGATTAATCAATAAAATTATTTTTTATTAGAACTATCATTTTGTCAAGGAATTATTCCTTTTTCATTTTTGTATTCTATCTTGTTTAGAAAAAATGAACAAAAACTATAGTTACCTTTATATATTTTTTATATCAAAATTAAATATTTTTAATATAAAATTTAATTTTGTTTTTAAATAAAAAATCTTGATGCTTCCATATATATTTTTTTCTTTTTCTTTTTATGCATTGTATTATAAATAAGCAATACATTTACTAATAATTGAATGTAGACTTGTTTATTATTGTTTTACAATTAAAAAATGATACAGGAAAATGATTTACATTAAGTCCATTTCGGATTGCTTGAAGTGAATAATATCGTTGTTAGTTGGCATTGAGTACATTGGTAAAGCACTTTTTACATAGGGGTGTTCGAAGAATTGTTCCCAACTACATCTTTCCACTTCGCTATATGTAATAAGTCTCTGGAGCAAGTCTTTCAGTGATTCGTCGAGTTTAACTTCTGAAGGGAAGCTTAGAGGTTTTTGTTCTTTCATATTTTTCCAGAAGATCTCTTCGCTTTCTCCAAAAGGAAATTGTGCTGTTGCCATGACATATAAGATGACACCGACGCTATATAAGTCCGACTTGACGGTATAATTCTTTTCATTCAATATTTCGGGTGAAGCGAAAATTGGGGTTCCAACGCCACTTTTAAAAAATTCGGATTCGGTTCCAAAAATACGAGAGAAGCCGTAGTCCGCTATTTTCACACGAGGAAGTCGTTGATTTGTTTGTGTCGGTGTTTTTAAGAGGAAATTTTCAAGCTTCAAGTCGCGGTGTAAAACGTGTTTATTGAAGTGTAAATACCACAACCCGCCACAGATGTCGGCAAAGAAGTGTTTGATCTCGACGTCATTTAATGGTCTCTTCTTTGCTTTTAAATATGTTTCAAGAGTCCCTCTGTCACAGTATTCCATCACAAGATAACTGTATTTCCCACTTTTTCCCCCTTGTGAGATTGAATACGGAAGCTCAAAGTAATCGAAATAATCAACCAAATTGGGGTGCTTACACATCCGCATCACACGTGCTTCTCGTATAATAGAATCGCGCCCAACAAATGGAATCTCTTTGATTGCTACCGGCGTCTTATCACCCCCAATAACACGAAGACCATACATGACAGTCCCATAGTTCCCCTTCCCTACTACACGAATAGGACTATAGATCGATGGGTCGGACTCTTTCCCCCACTTGATTTTACGACACTTCTCGACAAAGGGATGAAGGAAGAATTCGTCCAAAGAGATTCTTTTGTTAGGATCGTAGACCAACATCTTCCGAATTAAGTCGTCGAAGAGGGAGTCACTGGTAGTCTTAAATAAAATTGGTTTGTTATTAATAACACTCTTCATTAAGTCACTCCGCCCATCGTCTAAAGGATGCTTTCCAAAGATCAACATGTAATAGATCACACCAATCGACCACACAACGGAGTTGTCGTACACCTTCTTCACTTTATATTCCGGAGGGTTAAAGTAACAGTTTTTATAAAACAGTTCCTCCAAGTCCGTAGTCAACGAAAAGATATTAGAAAGTTTAAGTAAAGGAATAGGACTACTCGGGTCCCGTGTTAATAATAAGTTTTCTGGAGTTAATGAGTATTGAAAAAGTGAACAATTCTTTGTGAGATATTCAAATGCATATGATATGTCACACATGAAGAATTGCATCTGTTCATTGTTACCAAAGGAGTTTGTGGTCGACATGAACTTCGAGAGGTCGCGCTGCGTACACGACTCCATGATGATCCAAAATTGTAAACTTCCTCCAAAGTAACAGAAAAAACAGTTGTAGATCCGAACGATGTTGACATGCTCACATAACTGTAACAACTTCAGCGCTTGGGAATACTCCATCACTACCTCTTTGTTATTCATATCAAGTAAATGCCGTTTAATTACTACAGATCGCGCTCCTTGAATCGATTTCTCTATAGCAGCCTGGATGATTGATGTATTCGTCTTACTTATAATCTCTTGGAGAGTAAATCGTGACACTTCACTCTCCGGTGCTAGCGTGATGTTAATCCGCGACATTCTTTTTTTCACACCAAACTTTTTTTGAGTTCCTTTCCCTTGTCGTTGTTTGGAGCCTTAGAATGAATTCTTTATTGGTTCTTATCTAGTTTCTTTTATTATTCGGTTCTAGTTACAAAGAAGTCGATATTTCCAATTTGAAAAGAACAGGTATTAGAATTATACTATTAATTTTTACTATTTTAATTTTCCCTTGTTCCTCAAGAATACAAAAAGAAATAAATAGTATAATATAGTAATTATAATTATAACTTAACTAATAAAACCAGCTTGAAAGGTGAGGAGATGCCACCAAAGAAAAAAAGCACACAAGGGAACACGAGTTTGGCACCTTCACAAGTCCAAACAACACCAGCGGAGTACGAAGGACCTTTTCAAGAAGTCATGACACGAACAATAGAAAACATTAACAACTTTTTTACAAAACTTGAAAGGAGAGAGAGTTTTAACTTGATGGATTCGGCGACGTACAACGCAATGATCGCAGACTTTTTCATGGAAACGGACAGCGTTAATGCGTATGGAGAGTGCGACTATTTGGCTCGATATGTAGAGAGTCGAATTCAAAGGTTTTTTGAGTCCTTCAAACAAGGGCTGAAGGACGCTCCCCTCCAGTCGTTGCTTAAAAAGTTCCAATATCAAA